AGAAGATCGACAAGATAACGAGGGGCTAAATTATTTATAATTTTAAAGGTGAGCAACAATATTTTAAATTCAATGCGATACTTTATGGGTAACCAATGCTAATCAATAAGAACAGGGGTGATAGAGGCATGCTTTCTAATGCCAGTCAGGAGGCGAGCCGCAGCATAAAAAACAGGTCGTCAAACAGTTTCACGAGTTCAAGACCCATGTTTCTTTATCCTCTTCTTGCTCCAGCCTGATGATGTGTGGGGTATTGGCAGTGATGTTTGAGCATTACAGTGAGGCCCAGACTTTCCTTGAGCGAGCCACCAGCCTAGACCCTCTCAGCGTGGTGGCCTGGACGCTGCTGGGTGAGATGAGGATCTGTTTTGCTTCCTGCTGCTATTGTATCAGTGAACAGCAAAATGATACTACCAAACGTCATTTGTCAGTAGCTATTACTGTTTGTTGTCTACCCCCAGTGTAATGGAGGCCCCGCAGGTTACTCAAGACAGTTTGACTGTTGTGTGTGACTTTCATAGATTTAGGTTGGTTTGTAAATCTGTCTTTAAAATATCCATCCATCATCTTCAATTTAGGGTTGGGTGGAGCCCAGTTTGTCATAGGGTGAGAGACAGGGTAGACCCTGGACTGGTCTCTTTAAGAGTTGACACAGACTGAACAGACAAAATGATGAACAAACAAAAAAACATGAATATAAAACAATCTGTAACCTAAACACCCACAACAATAGTGGAAGAGGGATGCATGCTGGGGAACGTGGAGTGACCTTGTTGGGTGTTTGCTCCAGGTTTGTTCCATGTGGGTCAGAACGACTCCATCCAGGCTGAGAGGGCTTTTATGGAGGCCACAAAGCTGTTGAATGCAGAAGAGGCAAAAAAGCAAGAGCAGAGAGAGGAGAAGGGGGAGAACGACAAGGAGAAGAAACACGAAGAGGAAGAGAACAAGCAGGAGGCAGATGAAACAACCAACTCTCCCAGAGTTATGCAAGGTGAGGAAAACAAAAAAATAGAAATACAGACATATACAAGACAGTGTCAAGTGCAATAATGCCAGTCTATGCATGAGTTCAACCCATTCTTTTCCACTGAGCCCCATCTCCCTGTCAAGGAACTACTTTCGTTACTATTCTGTCTGCTGGGGCTCTCATGCACTTCAGCCCAAAGGGCACAGGGCAGAAGAAAATAAACCCTTGGAGTAACTGATGTTACCTGACCGTGTAGCTTTATTTTTCTCCTTTACCCAGAACTTGTTGACCAGGATTCAGAGATGCACAAAGAAGAGCCTCCAGCACTGAGTGTCAGCTTGAAATCAGCTCCTGCTACTATTTACACACAGACCATCCAATTCCTGCTGCAGAGCAATGCACTGCAGGTAAAACATACCCAGCGTGTTGGTTTGTACAGCACTGTGTTAACGTGACCATCGGTTTATTCTGTTACCGCACAAAAAGGGGCCTATTACATATGGCAATCTGCAATTTCAAAAGACACTTGGTTTTAGAAACATGTGTTAGTGATATGTGTTTTATGAAAGTATGATAGCATCAGTTTATCATTTTGAAAAAATGTTTGATTTATATTTTTGCAAATTTTTAAAAAAAAGTCTTATGTAATATTGGGAACAATAAATGTCTAATTTTAAAAGCTCTGAGCAGTAATGTTTGAACAAAGATAAAACAAATGAAAAAACAATAGCAGAAATCGTTCAGAGATGACTGTTTTCTGTTGTCAGATGGCAGAAGTCGCTCTATCTGAGGAGCTCCTATGTTCAGATGGCGGTCGCAGTGCTTCCTACTTCATTCATCTGGCCCAGTTGCAGCTGCTCAAAGCAGACTACTGCAGTGCTGCTGCCAACCTCAAAGAGGCACTGTCCAGCATAGATCAGGTACTTCCACACTACCTCTGGCTACAACACGAGTATTGACTGGGTGAGGAATATTACATGAGTGTTCAACTGCATGTAGGGCATTACTTGTCCAGAAAGCATTTGGTGCTCTGTTTGTAAAGTGTGAAACCTGCAATTTATTGTCTAATTTATCATGCTATTCTTTTTTTTTTATCTTCACTAAACACCAAACAAATGAATAATAAATAAATATATTTGTTATTTTTATATTTTCAAGGTGTGTATTTATTGTATATGACAAAGTAATCAGTTACAGCCACTGTTACTTTTTGATGCTCACCTTCTATAGATATGCATGACAACATATTCCAGTGTAGGATCAATTACTACACATAATATACATAATTTGTAAGGAGCTGAGTGTTATAAAAATAATTCCCAAAATCTAAGTGAATTGAAATCAGACCTAGTTTTATTCTTGAGATCATTCTCCTTCTGCTGGTCTAACAGCACAGATATACACCGAAGCTAACATCTGGTCTTCTCCAGCATCATTGCTCTAGTTCAGGGGTTGGAAACCTGCGGTTCTGGAGCAATATGCGGCTCTTTCGCCCTTATACTGCGGCTCCGCGTGGTTTCGGAAAATAAATTCGATTTATTTAACTGAAGTGTATTTTATTTGTGTTAGTTATTTTTTAACTTGTAGTTCTAAATTGGAAGATTATTGTGATCTTGAAATATAAAAATAAAGTTATATTTCATTATTTTTCGTCGCTCAAAATAAGCGCCACACTAGCGGATACTGGTATACCTGCTGAAACGGCGTGCATTTATTGTGACGTTCAACCCCGGGTAGGCCAAGTATGGAGAAATGTAAGAAAAGAAAAATATCTGAAGAAAATAGAACATTTAATGATGCCTGCGCAGATTAATTAGAATTTACTTCTGATGAGAGTGGCCTACCAGTATGCCTAATTTGTGGATTGTTGATCTTCGGATCCACATACATATGTGAGCAGCTATTCTCCACCGTGAACTATGTTAAAAACAAATATCCCTCATACCTCACAGACGACAGCTTACAGTCCTGCGTAAAGATCAAAGTTACTTCATACAGCCCGGATTTGCAGACGCTGTGTGCAGAGGTTCAGGAGCAGAAGTCCTATTGTAAAGACATCACGGCAGACCCAATAATGTTTGCATGAACATGTTTTTCAGCATCTCTTTATTGACGACTTTTCACACATGGTTGCTGTACACACACAGCCGGCTGTAGCTTTCCAGCACATAGCCTGACACATACCAGTATAACAGCTGAGAGAGCACAGACTTTAAAGTTGGAAAAGAGAAAGATCACACAGAAACAATCTCCAGCATTGCTTCGTTGACCCCGGACAAAAGTGACAAAAACACAAGCAGGGATCGGAAAAGGCCATTAACAGCAAATTACACTGCAAGAATTAATTAAGCTGCTCTTATATCACTTTGGCTTTTTTTTTTGTTTTGTTTTAATTTTCACTCCCCCCCACCCCAACCAGTCACAGCAGATGACTGTCCCTTCCTGAGCCTGGTTGTGTCGGAGGGTTCTTCCTCTTTGAAGGGAGATTTCCTCCCCACTGTCGCTAATTGCTTGCTTATAGGGAATCATCTGATTGTTGGGGTGGTCAAAACTCCAGCGGAACTAGCAATTCTTGTGAAATTTTTTTTAAAAGCCTAAAAAAATAAAAACAACCTATGAATATTGTCTTGAACTTGGCCACAATTTTGCTTAAAATCCCTAAAGTAATCCCTGTGTCAAGTTCTTACCAATATTCAAAGCGGAGCAGCAGACAACTTACCATCACATCAGTCCTTCAATCAGACCTAATTTGATACAAATTGGGAAAAAATTTTGGATGTATATTAAATAAACCAGCTTTAAGCATCAGCTAATTTTTGTTTGTAATTCTTTTTAAATATAGTGCTACCCTTTAGCCTCCTAGTAGACATACCTGTGTTATAAATGTGAAAATCCTCTTAGTTTTTTTTTTTTTTTTTTTTAGAAAAGTTGAGCTCTGACCTTGAAGTCAAGATCCCTGAGATTTAAACCTTAAAGAGATTTTCAGCAGATGCAACCATGGTATTGATTTGAAAATTCTACGTTGCCTCGTACTTGAGTTATTGCATTTACAAACTTGGGTGTCCACTGCGCCCCGCCATATACCAAACTCAAAAGATTAAGTGCTGTTTTTTTTAGTTCTTTCATAAGGTTTACAACACACAAATAAGAAAAATAGGAACACTATTGTCATTTTTGACAACACTATTTTCTTTTGTCATTTGTGTGCACACAGTCTGTGTCAACACACAGGGGAACACTGACACTTCATAAGATTTTCACTGTGTTTGTCTAATTCAGCCGCAACTTTCGGATTTTTCACATAACAAGCAGCATGGATTTTGTCCCTTATCATTTCAGCTGGAAGCACTTTATAAGGTGGTCTTTCACGTGGACATTGATGTTTCTAATCCTGGAACCCTGGGCAGTTTATATAATAAGTTTCATCCAGACTGAGAAATGTGTCTAGAAGAATCATTCATCAAGCAACTCTGCTGACTATTGACCCAAAGAGTCTTGCCCACTTTCTCACCAGGATCCTGATGCATGGGCTTTGAATGGTCACTGTCACTATCTACGAGGGGAGTTCCATGAGGCTGAGGAGAGCTACGAGTGGAGCTTCAAATTCCAGCAGAAGCCATCAGACTCTCACATTGTCTTGCTCCGCCTGGGATCCAGCTACTTTATGCAGGAGAAGGTCAGATATTGAGACAGGCATCACTGTCTGATCAGTCAGACAGTTACTCATGTGTACTGGGTCTGCTAGCATCTATTCACTGTGTGAGAGTTTACCTCATGCATTTTTCAAGAAAGAAACAAAATGGACCAGCCATATGTCTTGGACAGCAAAACTCAAATGTGACTTAAAACACCTCATGTGAAACCACAAAGTTATACAGTGTAACTCTGTCTTATTTTTTTTAACTCTCAGTTTCAGGAAGCCAAGGTTGTGTACCTGCAGGCCTGTGAACAGTCTCCATCCTGCCTGACCTGGCTAGGCCTGGGCGGTGCATGTTACCGGGTAAAACTCTTACCTTCAGAATATTGATGGGAATGATCGTATTAAACTCAAAAAAGCTTCTATGTTGTGGCTTCAGAATTCTTTTTGTTATATGGAAAATAAAATAAAATTGTAAAACCTGTGATTCCACTCAGTGTATGGTTCAAGGTTTTAAGTACACGCCTGTTTCTATTGTTAAAAGAAATACTTTCGAAATACTAGCTTAAAAGAATAGTTGGTTTGTTTTGAAAGGAAGTCACCCTTTGTTGTTTCAATGGGCATTTCTGTCTGTTTAGTTGGAGGACTTTTGTAGAGCTGAGGAAGCTTTGACTGAGGCCAACCATTTGGACAACCAGAATGCAGAGGTCTGGGCTTACCTGTCTCTCATTTGCCTCAAGGTGAGTGATGATAAAACACTAGTAATGTCATTATTAATGTCCTCCGTTGTCTGTATTTCAAGATAATCTCGCGCACAGTGGCCTGACACATCCCCTTTTATGAAGACTACAGAACAGCGTGTCTTTGTTAGAAATTAAAAAACAATCTGCAGGAGTCAGAAGAGCTGACTGGTTGGGGTTATGGTAAGAATTGAGTCAGTTTAAGCTTTGGAATAAATGACTCTTCAGGATGAGGGATGGGTTCAGAGTAAAAAGCCCTAACCTCCATAGAATCTAACACCAACATCCATCCTTTTGCCCTTTGGTAAAGCCAATGCTTTAGTTACTGACCACACTTTAATGAGACACCAATTAATTTGGGAAAATGCTTGTGCAAGTAGACGCTGCATGTCGATCAATATGATAAATGGCTAAAATCAATTCAGGAATGCAGACTTTGAAGTAGGACATTTTAATTGAGCTCTCTTTTAACCTTGACACCTTGCCTTCTGCACATGTGAAGTACTCACAACATATTACTGAGTCTGTGATACAAAAATCTGCAGAAATTAGTAGTCTGATTGTGACTCATGACATGGAACTGAGTTCTGCTTCCGTCACGGTGTTTAAAGATACTGGACAAAGTGGCACCTTCTAAAATTAGAAAAGACAGCATCGTTAAATCATCTCCTTGGATCACTAAATCTATTTGCAGTTTTTTTGGCTTTGCCTTAAGACTGAGTACCTGTGGGAAAACCACAAAATGTCCTATTTACGATAGGAAAAGGGAATGCTAAGGTTCTATTTGACACTGAGAATAACATTGTTTCTCCTCCAACACAAAGTACACCAGGTTTTTCAGAAAAGGACTACAATGAATGTAAAAAACTTTTCCAAGGTAAGATCAGTGGTCAAAGAGAAAATACAACTCCCACAGATCGCCCTTTCGATCATAAACTCTCACACATCCCAAAATTGTAGAATATTTTCACCCACTTTCTTTAGCTTATGTATGTCAAACACTACTCCAAATTAAACCCTCAGCAAGCTCAGCCAATGTCTTAAGTTTTTGACTCCATTTGGCCCTCTGTGGTCAGGCTGTGTCCTAAAGTTCTTTAAACAGGTGGTTATCCAACCAGGTTTGAAAAAGCTAAATCTGGACCTTACACTAAACACCAGCTATAGACCTGTTTCAAAACTTCCTAAATTGCTAAAGTATTACAAAAAGAAAAATAAAAGGTTGTTGGGACAGGAAGGTGTTGGAGAAGCACAATATTCATGATAATGTTCAGTCTGGTTTTAGGAAGTTGCACTCCACAGCTCTCCTTAAAGTTTCGATCTTTGGATGGCTGCAGATAAGGGTGATTGCTCAGCCCTTGGTTTGCCTGACCTTATCTCAGCCTTTGAAATGTCAAATCTCCATCAAATCTTAGTCCAACAGTTAAACTACATGGTAGGGATCTCTGGCTCTTTCTTAGAGTAAGTCACTTCATTTCTTGCTTATAGAACACTTTTGTCCTCATTGGGAAATTTTGGGTTTGAAACGGCTGCATTTCCATGTGGCATTCTGCAAGGATCTGGTTTAAGTTCCTTGTTATGGGGCAGCGATAGCTCAGTAGTGGAGGCGGTCAGGGGTTCAAATCCACCGAATGGCTACCCTGAGGTACCCTTGGGCAAGGTACTGTCTCTACACACTGCTTCCCGGGTGCTGGATTGGTAGCTGCCCACTACTGAAGATGCTCGTTGATGCCTTTATCTCCACCTGCCTAGACTATTGCAATGCTTTGTTTTTGTGTCCGTTTAAAGCATCTATTAATTGCTTCCAATCTGTCCATAATGCTGCTTCAACACTTTTAGCTCAAACTCACAAGTTCACTCATTGTTAGATAGTTCAAAATCTTGATTCTTACTTCTGTGACCTTACAAGATGAGGCCCCTAGTTATATCATCAATCTTTTCAATCTTGTCTGCAGATAAAGGTCTCCTTGTGATTCCACATGCCCGTATGAAAACTAAGAAGGATTTTGCTTTCCAGACTTTAGTGCCATAACTGTGGAACAGCTTATCGCTTTTGCTGCACACCACTGACTCTGTGGCATCCTTTAAAAAAAATGCCTAAATGCATCTATTCAGACCAGCAATTTGGTAAAATTTTTGTTTTGTGTTGTTTTTCTTGATTCAGGTATGTTCGTTTGACTGTATTTTTAATATTTGTGTAAAGCACTTGTCTTGAAAAGGAGTATACAAACAAACTTTACTTACTTACATAACTAAACACATGGTCTGCAACTCAATTAACACTGATGAACCTTTTGTTTTCAGTCTGGCAAAAAGGAGGAAGCAGAGAAGTTTTATAAATATGCAATACGGGTGAGTTTGGTTGTTTTGTCAGTCACTGTAATTTAACATATCAGTGGGCCGTTAGTGATTTACTATTAATTATCCATGTTTTAAATTCTATATTAAGTAGTGATTGCATTAAGTAGACATGCAACATTAATACTGAATATAAAACAACAAAAACAGCTTCTCTGTGAGTTCTCTGTAGCATTTGATTACTAAGGATATAGCTTTCCTGCTGTCCTTGATTTTCTCATAAATTACGTTAGAGCCCTGTAATCCTTTATTTTGTCACAGTGAATCAGTTTTACTAAATATTGCATCCTCTTATCCAAGGTGAATTTTACATTAAGATGCTGGTTTCTTGAAAAAAGAAAAAACATTTTCTGTTTTCTCGGTATCCACAGTTCAACCTACAGATGGAGTCACTCCACAAAGAGTTTAAAAAGTTGAACAATCAGCTCCGCTTCCATCATCTGGAGTCATGCTTTGAAAGAAGCACTAAAGCAAAAGAATAAATCATATGTCCAAGTATGTACGCATTATATCTCAATGACCAGTATTTGAAACAACATTTTATTGGGTTTTCAGCATGTGTAGTGTATGAAAATTAAATACAGAGAGTTCAGATGTACATGATGACTTAGATTTCACAGACAGTGAGGATAAGTAACCGCTTGAGCCATAAAAGTTAAGCTCTGATCAATATCAACACAACAAACACAGTTAAAGCAACACCATAATCTCAAATCTATATAAAACAATTGCAATATACTGTTGTTGTTTTTTTTTTGTTTAAATACAAAAACAAAGAAAAGAAAGGAGGCTATATGGTGACTGGTACCAGCAGGATATAAAACATTTACTATTTCACATTTGATGTCAGGAAAACAAGCCCTCATGACACTTTGTGGTGTTTTTGTTCTAAGACACCTTTCTAAATTTTGGCACAATCCTCTCTGCGTTGAAAGGAAATGTTGTGAAATATTGATTTGAGCTTGTCAAATAGTTCACGAAGGATGTGTGAGAATGGGCCTTGAATAAATTTCCTTTAAAACCAAATGGATTACAGTGACCAGTACTTTCTTTTGCATGGGTTTTCTTTGTAACATACTGTATTTTGATATTCTTTTAATGCCGTTTTTAAACTCGGCATCTGGGTGTTGGTGTGAGCTATTGCAGAGAAATCATTGTCTGACCCGTGAAAACATATCTCTCAGCCACGGTGAATCCTCATAAAGGCGAGGGTCACCCAGATACTCTGAGGTCCTCTTGTAGAAGTAGTAGTACAGCACAGAAGCTGCAAACAGGAAATTATGTTAGGAGCCTTCAACATATACGGATATTTAATTTGCAAATGTCTGTAAATTAGAAACATGACTGATGTGAATGTAGATTTTCATATCAGTGACTCTTTTGTAATGTGTTTGCACAGTGATCAAGGTTATTCAAGAGATTTATGTGATTGCAAAATAAACAGGGAGAAAACTTGAAAATTCCCACCAGTGTTTAAAACTGAGTGAGGTAATGGCAATGCTTACACACCGAGTAACTGTCTGGACAGGTCTTAAGTGGCAGACAAAGCAAAGACAACAAATAGCACATGACTCTTCTCATACGCAGATCACCTACAGAGAGTAATGCCAGCTAGACAATGCAGGCTTTTATCCACTTATGAGCTTATACATGTATAAAAATGGCACCCACATGGTGATGAGATGTGATGTCACTGTCTGGAAGAGTAACCAGTAACAACAGGCGACAGGTAAAGGAAAAATAAAAAGGTGGGTGAAATGATCAAACAGTTTACTAGGGCATTTATGGGTTGTTGTTTTTTTTTGGCTTAAATCTGTACTGCTGTTTTGGACTGCTTCACCTGCTTGTATTGTCTCCATGTATTTTCTCCTGTCTCATTTGTAAAATCTAAATTTAATTATTCAGTCAAAATGTAAACATTTTTTTAAATGTTAATATGTACAATCAGATTATAGAGTGGAAAAATGCTAACCTTTTGTATTGTATACTCTTCAGTGTTTACATGAAAACATTCTAAATGAAAAGAGGTACATTTGGTTGCATGAACTTGTTATCTTACCAGCTCTTTGGAACACAAAAAGCACCTGAAGACCGTCGGTCCAAATAAATCTGTTTGTATTTAACCAGCGCAGATTCTGAAAGGAATAGAAGGATGACAAAAAGGCCACTTTGTGTTAAATTCGGAGATGTAAAGAGTTTGTACATTATAGATAATTTAACAATTACAACCAGAATGATGAGAAATGCAAATGTTATTTTCTCAGTCTCATATAATGACACATTTTAACCAAGTTTTATCTTCTTTTTTTTTCTTTCTTATGATGTTTTTCAATTGGCAGTTATTAAAATCAAAAGGAAAGCATTTTAAATGTCTGTAAGCTTGTTGTACAGTATCTCCCCAAAAAAGTGGCATAAAAATGCGAATTATCCAATCCGGCATTTTCGCCTTTGTTTTTAACGACGTACCATAAGCCAAGAATGGAGAATGATGCTGAAGGTCAAGTAAAGAGCAGATAGCATTAGCATGGTTCTAAACCGCTCCAGCAATATGGCGACCAGTCCAACCTGGAACACATAGGTGTTGAACAGCATCAACAGAATGATGATCAGGTTAAACAGGGTGGCAATGTCCTGGATTCTGTTGAAGAAAAGGAAACAGTATAAGCAGCAGAAAAAACAACGACGAAAACAGGAAGAGCTTGTCGGCAGGATTATTGTCTTGTCTAAAATACATTTTACTTCAGCATTTCAAAAGATTCAGTGCGGATAAATTGAGAATTATTTCCCCCCCCTTGAGCTAGAGGCTGCGTTAGGCTGAAACAGTGAAAACGTTTGACGTACATGAAAAGTACCAGCTGCACAGCTGGCTCAGTCCTCAGCAGCTCACTGAAGGAGTTGACAAACAGGTCAAAGGAGAGCAGGCTGAGCTGGATCAGTAACACCAGAGAGTAGTTGCTGGTATAGAGCGTCTCCGGCCCGAAGGCTGGGCGCCCGGGCGGACTGTGGTTCCACTGCGGATCCAAGGCTGCACTGCACCCTCACACACACACATACAAACATCAATCGAGTTCTTTTTTTTGTTACAGTTTTGGGGTCTCAGTAAGGCATTCAAATGTCTCCACTCTCGATTCCCCAAATGTAATTAAAACATGACTGATGCCAAATGAAGCATATGTTGTTCAAATCAGTCCTGTTCACTGGGTAAAAATGTATGTCCTTTCAAAAGAGGGAAGAGAGTCCGTTTTAGGGGTGAGCTGCCAGGAAGTCGACATGTCAGAAGTGCTGATTTTTATAGCTCCAACACCAGCAGGTGTGGTAGCACGGTACCGTATTTGTTGTGGCTGAAACAGCAAGGACTCTGTTGGGCCTCCATATCAAAACCGATGAGACATCAGCACCGCAGTGAAGGCAGCAGAGATCCTGTGGAAGGAGACAGATTAGTATTCTGTGACAACCCTTCAGGGTACATGCACACAAAAAAAGGCCAGTCTCATTTTATAGAAAAGCACCCAAACATTGTGCAAATTGCCATTTAACTGCCTTACACTCCTTCAGCTGCTTCGTACTACAAAACATCTCCTGCCCCAGGTAAGTTACACTTTTATACCCTGAGGGGAGGGATACCTTGTTCAGAAGTGACAGTTTTATTGGGAACCCACACTGCTCTAAGGCAGTCCCAGACTTCTGATGCCAGGAAAATATAGAATAACTGCTAAGTCAATTCACATAAATGGGAAATGTGCTACATTTCTAGTGGTTTCTAGCTAAATTTGACATGCAGTTTAGACTTCTGCCATCTGCTTGTTGTCATTAGTTTTTATTGAGTGGACAGTGTCCAAAGTGCTAATCAAAGCATGAGAAAAAACAAAATAAAAAACTAATCAGAACTAACTGACTAATTGTTTGTTTTTAAGCAGCTTCTCTCTCAAAAGAGCCCCATTTTCTGATGACAGAAAAACAGATTCTGATTTATTTCTTCCCGGCACATTTTATCCATCACATTAGGAAAAAAAGAAAACAAAAACAAAACGTCTTTACTCGATTGTTATAGAGAAACAGGTCCTTTCACTACTGTTGTCACCCCTCTGTGTATTTCTTAAGTAGGTACTTTAAAATCTTTGCCTGTGCCAGGATCACTATCCAGCAGGATCCTTCACACCGACACCAGGTTGATCCTCTTATGATCCCCGTATTTATGGCTTGGCATGGCCCTGACAGGTGTGAGGAAGATTAGGACTATTTCTAAACCCTGAACCATCAACTACGAGGCTACTTCTTCTTGAAAGCTGTCCCACTAAGTTTCTAGGTTAGCAGCCCTACCTACTCCTTGGCAAAAACTGCTTTAGCAGTATGAACTAGAAAAATAACAACATGTATTGAATGCAAAATTTTTTTAAGTGCAGTGGACAACAACATATATGGACTGTGAGCAATTTCTACTATTTTGTTAATTGATCAAAACGATCAAAAAAGTATATACGTCTAAGACATAATGTTTTCCCTGTGTAAAGAAACGTGCTGTAAGTTAAAAAAAAAGTCTCTGTTGTTGCTAGTGTTCTACCAGCTTGTAATTCTTAGTACTGCAACACTTAATCTTCTTAGAAACATCAACAGCTTGTTGCTTTAGACAGAAACAACAGAAACAATGACATTCTTCAAGTTTCACAACATAAGCTACTGAAACTGGATCACAAACCAGCACAAACCTGCAAATGAAGGTGGGTTTCAGGGGCTGAAGAAGCATGCAACTCTCCAAACGACGCATGTGGCCACCATCAACACAGCGTGCAGCAGATTGGCAGCTTTTGTCTGTCCTGGTAACAGGTCTGATCCCTCCAGCTCTCTAAAAGACAGGCGCAAAGGTTTAGTCATGTGCCACCAATCATGTTGAGTTTGTTTACACACAGCTTGTTGAGATTGTAATGATGAATAAAGCTGTGCAAGCGCAGTTGGATGCAACGTTAGTGATTACCTGTGATGAGTCTATGATTAATAGAGTGAAAAATGTTCCCAGTGACTGTGCCACATTTTCTTTTAATTGGATTGCAGGTTCTTCAGCCACATGCAAGTGAATGATGACGGGTTACAAATGGATGCTGTGGGAGCTTTTTTCCCCTAGCTCTTTCAATCACATTTCCATTCAAGATTACTGTAATGCTTCCGGGAAAGATAATTAAAGTCAAGCAACTAGGAAACTGTTGTCATCTAGTGGTAAGTGTGTATTATTGCATACATAGTGGCAGACCACAGAGAATCAGCAGAACAAGCTAGATTGAACTCAATATCAATTTGATAATGAAATAATAAATTAATGTACTTAATTGTAACATATTTGTTGATTGTTTGGAGAAAAAAAAGATGACGATTCAGACCAGGCTTTCTTCAGCTCCCACTTTGGATTTGGGAGACAGACACACTCTCTACTTTTAAGATTGGACTTAAAACTTTTCTTTTTGATGAAACATATAGCTAGGCCTGCATCCGGTGGCCCTGAATCCTCCCTTTGGCCCAGGCTACTGAAGGCTTCCCATCAGCTTGTGTTTCTTCTTCACTCACCTTTTTCCATTAACTGTCATTAACTGTGTGTTTATACACCACTCTACATTTAATCGCTGGTAAATATTACTTCCACAGCCTGCCTTTTGCTCTGTCTTCCTTCCCTCATCCCAACTGGTTGTGGCAGATTGCTGTTCCACCATGAGCCTGTTTCTGCTGGAGGTTTCTTCCTGTTAAAAGGGAGTTTTTCTTTCCCGATGTAGCAGAGTGCTTGCTCAAAGGGTTGTTGGGGTTTTCTCTCTGTTATTGTAGGGTCTTTACAATATAAAGCACACTGAATTGACTGTTGTTGTGATTTGTGATCAAATAAAATTTAACTGAATTTTGTAAGTAATTATGTAATTTCATAATTACTAAGTAATAATCTCAACTAGTAAAATATAATAATTTTTTTTTTAGAAATAAGACACCAGGTGACTGGTGATATTGCCAAATGTGGGGCTACCTTTTAGAAAAAACAATAAGCCCAG